GTTCAGCTGGATGGCACCTAACAACAACAACAACCAATCTTGGCCCGCCCCAGTCAGGCCCAGCCCATATACTCTGCCCGTCCTCTCAGGACCCGTCCATCACTCCCAGCCCCGCCCACCACTCCCGGCCTCGCCTCAGTCAGGCCCTTGTCGGTAGAAGCCGCTGGTCTCCCGTAGACCCCGCCCACCACTCAGAGCCCCGCCTCATCCAGGCTCGGTTCCTAAATCCGCCTCGCTCCGCCCCCAGGCTCTGGAGGACCGCCCACCGGGCCTGTTGGGGGTTTGTGGATCCGAGTCCGCGCGGTAGTACTTGTCTCTCAAGTGGTCGGTTCGAGTTCTCGTGTCTTCGCCGGGGCCCTCGTCTCCGACCTCGTCCCTGCCTTGCGGGCGCGGCCGTTTCGGCGAAAGCGCTCGCTGCGAATCTGCCGCTGCGAATCTGCGGGCGCAGCAGCCTCGCGAGACTGCCGAGCGTCTCGGGAGCGCGGCGGGCCTGTCGGGCCTGCGGCGGCGGCGGCGACGGCGGCGGGGACCCGGGCGCCCGGGGCCGCCGGCATGACGGGCCGCGTGTGCCGCAGCTGCGGCGGCACCGACATCGAGTTCGATTCAGCGCGCGGCGACGCCGTGTGCACGGGCTGCGGCTCGGTGCTCGAGGACAACATCATTGTATCCGAGGTGCAGTTCGTGGAGAACAGCGGCGGCGGATCGTCGGCCGTGGGCCAGTTCGTGTCTCTAGACGGTGCGTCCACGACCGGGCGGGCGGGATCGGGGCACGGGGAGAGCCGGTGACTACACGGGAGAAGTTGTGCAGACGTGGGAGTTTGGGACCGTCACCGGGGTGGGTAGCAGGCCCGGGTCGGGTGCCGGGACTGATGGGCAGGGAGCTGGGAGGCACCGAGGCAGACGCCGGAGCTCCAGTGGTGGGAGGAGGCGCCGGTGCTAACGGGAACGTGGGCGGTTCGAACCTACCGGCAGCCTGCTTCCGTACTGCTGTCAGCGTCTGCCCTGCGGGGTTCCTCTGAATCCGAATCTCTGGAAGGCATTACACAACCCTGGGCACTTGCAGAAGTTTGACTTTAAAAGCAGAATTTGCACGAAGGAGAAAGTTGTGGTCTGGGACACAGTGCATATAGGCCCAGGTTTTTTATTTTGTTAATAAATGCCCAGTAAAATTGACATTGGAGTACTGGTGTGGGCTATAGGGGAAGCACTTCACTAGTAACTGTAAGCTCTTTGGAAACCCTGCACAGGGTTGCTGTGAGTCAGGACCGACTCAGTGACATTGAACAACAACAACAAAATGGACTTTATTTTGGTGTGCTGTTGGTGTTGGTGTTGATTGTGTGCTGTGGAGTTGGTTCGGACTCATAGCAACACAGTATAGATAGGGTTTCCAAAGAGCGGTTTGTGGGTTTGAACGGCTGACCTTATGGTTGGCAGTCCAGTGCTGATCCTACAC